GTGCGCCATAGTGTCGCGCGCACCCGACAAGAAGGTTTCTAATTTTCTCGCCACTCGCCGCCGACTCCGACTGTCACCTTCCGTCAATGCCGCCGCCCGAAGCTCGAACTCCCTGAGTGTGATCCTCTCTTGAGCTGCCACCTCCCAATGGGTGTATCCCTTTAGACAACGAGTCACCTGTGCCGCCAACTCTCCTCGCGCCCTGCAGCTGCTCTCCACCTCAGCCAGCTGCATTTCTAATCCCGCACGTTGTGCCCTCAAATCCCAACACTCGGATTGCAAGTTGCACAGCAACTCCTCATCCTCCTTGCGGACTCTTTGACTTTCTTCTAAGGCGCGCGTCTGGCGCGCAAGCTCGGCTGCTAGGACTTTGTTCTGTCTCCGCTCCTCCTGCAATTCCGACTCGATCTTTGCCCGTATTAGCTCGGCATCCGCCTGACTTTTCGTCGCCGCCTCCTCCCTCTGCTGCTGCAAGGCTTGGTATAGCTTCTGTGTGACCGCCAGGTGTTGTCGGAGGGCGGTGTTCCTATCCACATATACTCCGCACCTAGAGGCCCACTTTGCCACCTTGCTCCTCGTCCTTCTCCTGATAGTCTCCACATAAGACTGCGGTTTTAAAGCACTTGCGTATTTGGATGTCTTGCGATCCAGATATCGCAGGAGTGGAACTATCTGTTCGCACAGCACCCCTGTTGGCGTTTTCTGCACCGAATCCGCTTCTTGTTCTTCCGAGCTCGTCTCATCCTCAGTCTCGAGGATTTCAGTCGCCACCGAATCCCTTGGCGACTCCCTGGAACTGTGGCGCGCAGTAGCTTCCGCTGCGACTGCTGCTCCACTGCCTGCTAAAATATCCAGGGCAGTGGGAGATCCCACTGCTTGAGCCCCTGTTCCGGCTCGATCTTCGGTTTGTGAAGGGGTCGACGCCGTAGTGACTTTTGTCACTCTTGAACCGCCCGCTTCTGCTGCCTGTCCTTCAGGCGCAATCTGCGCGGAAGGTGTCCTTGCTGAAGGTGCGTCCGCCGAAGGCGTCCGCACACTGGTCGTTGGCACCATCCGTCTCGCAGTCGGCGAATCCGGCTGACTCTCTGTTGTCCGACTCGCAGTCGGCCGACCAGCAGTTGTCCGACTGGGAGTCGGATACACCATGCGCGTCTTGACTCCACTTGGCCTGCTTGTTGGTGGCGTTCTTCCAGAAGTGCCTTCCGCCGAAGACGACCCTCTGAGGATTGTTGGCTCGTCAGCCAAACTCTCTTCTGCTTCCGGCCTGCTATCCGGTTCAACGCGCCGTTCAGTTGGCCTTCCTTCCGCTTGTCGACCTTCAGTCATCCGACTCGCAGTCGGCCGGCTGTCAGTCCGTCCATCTCCTCCCGAAGGCCGTGGTGCCTTCTGTGCAGAGGTATCTGCAGTCTTCCCTAGAATCTGAGCGATTATCTCTTCCTGTGTGAGATTCCGCCGGGTCGGAGTTCGCCTGGTCTCCTCAGTAACAGTTGGCATTTTGCGTGCCCTCTGTTTTGGTCGACTGTGAGGCTCGGGGGTGGGCCGACCACGAGTCGGCGCAGCTGGCACTTCCGGCTGCCTGTCCTCAGGTCTCTCATCCCACTTCCGCTTTCGCGGAATGCGCTCACTTCGACGTTCTTCTGCTGCTCTTGCTGGAGCCGGAGCCGGAGGCGTACTGGCAGGTTCCTCGTCCGGATCTGTGTCTACTTCGGCCTCCCTCGAATATCTTCCTGGATAAGTCCGGGTCAGCTGCGGAAATCGAGTTTTCTCAGCATTCGTCAAACATCCCATCGCCCGGTAAAACACGATTAAGTAAGGCGATAGATGATTGAGGGTTCCTCCCCTCTCTTCTTGCGCATGTTGGCGCGTCACCTTCCACAGGAGCCGTGCCCAATGCACCGGAGCTCCTGACAGCACTAGCTCCACGAACTCTACCTGCCAACCATGCATGTAAGCGGTCTTGGTCGGCTGCAATATCTGCAGCAATGCCGCCGCGACATTTCTCCGCAATCGATCCTTGTAATCCCGTGTCCGGAAACCGTTCTTGGGATGTCTGGCCACTTTGAAGAGCTCATTGTAAGAGACTTCTTCCTCCTGGGACACCTTCACGCTATCGGCCTCGAAGAGGAGATCCCCTTCCTCGCCGGCACACCTGCCCAACACCTGCGCCCAATTGCAAATGTCCCATCTCTCTGGGTGTGGGCGAAATCCGCGAGAAGGCTTGTGTCTCTCCTGCAGATACTCGCGCACCATCTCCGGACACGTCCAATTCCACCCCCATAGGAGAAAATCGAGCTTCAGCCTCAGCAGCACATCTTGAAATGCGCGTAGACCGATCTGCGGCACCTTGAGTGGAGACACTCGCAGCTGGGGAACCTTCGACATTGCGTTGCCTGCACACACACAAACGTTCTCCCTTTCGCTCGCTCTCTCACAATCGCCACTGCGCGTCGGCCACTCAAGCACTGACTGCTCACTCTCTCTGCGCTCGTTCAAGATCGCTACTCACAATTCTTTCAAGGTCCGCCAAGATCCTTGCGCAACTCGTCTCCGCACTCTCTACTCTCACTGCAGGTCGCTCCGCCCTTGCGCGTAATCTTGGAACTGGAAATCGCAAAGTCAAGAATGAGAGAATGAGACTGGAGCGCAGTCTTTTCTTCTCCGATTTCAAGAACGTCCAACGTTCTTACTGGTTGCAACGTACGCAGCCGGCTATACGGCTTAACGGTTCGCCCTTTGCATGCGCGAATTCACGTCTCCGCATTGCGCGCATTCGCATGCTTAAACGTTGAATGCTCCCGCCGCCGCCACCTTCCGGACTCGAGTCCGCTGCAGGGTATACGTCGGCCCTGTTGTCTTTTCCTAACCCGTCCTTCACCGGAGGCGTGTCGCCGCTGGTGCGTTCATTATCCGTCGGCGCCTTGCTGAAGGCGCACATCCAGCCGGAGCGAATTACGCCGGCGCGCAGTCGTACCGCCTATTTTGTCCTTTATACCTCGTCCGTTGCTGCCGGCGCATATTCGTCAGCGCAACTCATGCCAGCGCATCCGGCCTTCAGCGCCACGTCGGAGGCGTACATCCGACCGGCGCTTTCCTTCCATGAACAGCCGCCAAGGGCGCTTCCGACTCTGAGTTGGTTTCCTCCTGTGAGCGCGTGATTCCGCCGAAGGCGCATCGCCGAGGGCGTACGGGAATCCTTTCCGGCTGTGAACCCTAGCGCGAACGGCGCATGTCCGGCTACGAGTTTTCCGACGCTCATAACTTCTCCATTCCTGATCCATCTCCGACGCTCTTGGACTCGTTAGAACGAGCGTCCCGAGCTCTTTCTAATGCAACTTCAACCAACTGGATCTACCGTGTATCCCGATTGTTATGAAGGTTTTCCCTTTCCGCGCTAGCGGCGCTTCGCCGAAGGCGCACTCATGGTCGGATGCCTTTAGAGGTCCGGGCCCTTCTCCTGACGTCTTTAGCAAAACCTCCTCCTGAGGTGTCTGCGCCGGAAGCGTAGCTTCCTTATACGCTAGAGGCGCGTGAGTAGAGACACCTCAAAAAGGAGCTTTTGCCGAAGGCGCCGAAGACGTTGGCGTTGGTACATCCGACTACGTGATTCTTTGTGCCCTCGTGACGATCTCATCAATCCACTCTATTTAGCGTACCCTTCTCTAGCTACAAACACTGCTTTGGTACTAGTTTTCTAAAATTGTTTAAATTCTGCAAAAAAAACAAAAAGTGTGTTACCACAACAATCTCCTTAGGGAGAACCACATTAAACTTCCTCTAGGAGGTGAGCAATGTTACTGACCTCTGACAGGTGAACATCCATTGTGATTATTTCAGTTTTGCTCAAGGCTAACAACTAATCTAGCTTTACGGTAGCCCGTCTGAGACTCGTATCTATGTTTTATATTTGAACAACAATCCAAGGTCAAATGTATCTCTTTCAGATTTTCATCCCGGAATTTTTTAGATAGTTGATGAAAAGGTCCATGACCCTAGAATGAGCTGCCCTCTCAATAAAGACTAGCAAGAAAGGAGGGTCGTAGGATGCAAGAGTCAAAGAGGCTAGAACTCGTGAGTGCATGCTGAATTCTAAAGTACGAGACGAGATAGTTGGTTGTTCCTTGGAAGTGGTATGTCTCAGGAAGACTAGGATCATTTCTAAATTGAGATCCAGTACTATCACCAATTCCAGTGATTCGACGAGAGTTACTACTCGGTGAAGTTGGAAACATCATTCCATCGCCTATTGTGCCCACACTGCTAATGGCGTCGTCACCTAAGAAGGAAGTCCCAAACATGATGAGAGATTAGTGAAAAAAAAACTCAAGAATAATGACCGAAAAAAATCACTGTTGCACGGACCGAAATGGAAATCCCGCGGATGCAAGCCTTGATCAGGAAAAAACATGAAAGAGGAAAGAGACATCCTAGGTCGAAAGCTCTGATACCATATTTAACCTGCTGAGGTATGCACAGTACTCAATGTGTGGAAGTGAAAGTTTGAGATGCTTAATGAAATACATGCATATATAGTGTAATACAAGTACGTTCTCGATATCTACCCCTATTCTATGACGAAGATTAAGAGTCACAAGCTACACAAAGAAGTTTACTTAGTGAAGTAATACTTAAGCAGTGAAATATAGTAGAGAGATAACGTCAAACAACTCATACATTGGTTGCTTTGATGATGTGTACATGGATTGCCCTCTTTCGCATGTGTTTGTTGTTTTATGAACTATTCCAGCTGTTCAGCACGTTCGCAACTTGATTATTAGATGTTAAAGGATAATGATTGAAGAAGATTGTTCCCTTTGGTGGTAGTTATTTGTTGACATTGGCCACTTTTAACGGTGGCTGAAAGAAAGAAATTCCGGCTTATCAGTATTTCAAATAGTACCAACCAGTTTTTCGACACCATGTGAAACAAAACTTGTGAGAAATTGAAACGACAGTGAAATGATAGAAACAGGAAACTCCTTTGTAATATTATTCCACAAACGTAAATGATAACCATTGAGACTTTCTCAGAGAACTAGTTTATTCTCGAAGTCAAAATTCATTTGAAACTCTCTCACAGGGAGCGCACTTCTTCTCATGAAAAGATGAGACTTTTCATGAAACAATTCCTCGATTTCATCCGCATCAAGCTTATGGACAGAGTACAGGAAAGTACTCAGAGAACATGACCCACTTCATCCTCCTCAAGACATCACTTCTTGCCATTGTAAATCTAAACGGTCGGCATGAATGGAGCTTTCAACTTCATCAACTCGGCGGAGGTGATTTTAAAAGCCTGGAGGAGAACCTCGTCCTCAATACCAGAACCAAAGATGTTCCTGGGCATCGAGATGGTGCCGGCGTTGGAGCTACCGAAAGCAGAGATGGCCAGAACACTCTTCTCCTTGGACATGTTGATCTGAAAGTGGACAAGACCCTGAGGGAACACGAACAAGTCACCTTCATGGAGATGGGCGGCGTACAGCTTGTTGGCAGAGTCGATGAGGCCGACGTCCAAGTGTCCGGCCATGACGAAGATGAGTTCTGATCCACGGGGGTGAGTGTGGGGAGGGTTCAGAGTGTTGGGCTTGTACTCGAGGAGGGTCACGCCGACTCCAAGTCCAGTGAGAGCGGGGAATTCGACCTGTGTAACCTTCTTGGAGCCGAAGGTGTTTGGAGCAGCGGAGAAGTTTCTGAGACCTGTGAACGTGAAGAAATCTCCAGTGATCAAGGAAGAGTTCATTCCTACTGGGACGGCGAAATCGGTTGTGAGTTCGGGGTCACGGGCGCACACGGCAACGACTGATGCCATCATAAGGACAAGTACGAGCTTCATGGTGGCCATGATTCGCTAGAAAATCGAGCTGTAGATCTGCAAGCCAACATTTTGGTAGTGAACTTCGTTAGAAAAGAAATTTCCCCAAGCAGTACTTTGAACTTACATTACAAACTCAAATATCAGAGCTGATCGATCTGAAAATAAGATCCCAACCGAAGTCCAACCTTGACATATCAAAAATTAACAGCCAGGTCTTGGGACGTGCTCAACTAAAGCGCGCAGATGTTCGTGACGACAAAGAAGCAACCAGAATTTCAGAATTGGGGAGTAACTTACTTTGACCGAATAAGAGGAGGTCAGTAGGTCACTTCGCTGAGTTCCGGTTATGTCATTTTGATCTCCTCTTTATATACCCGAGAGAGTTATACACTGGTTTTGGCTGTTTCCTCCTATGGAACTCATGTGGTAAACATCATGTTGGCTTTCCAGGCTGTAGCTGCAGGGCGTGGCGAACTGTCGATAGCAGCATCTTATTTGCCCTGGAAGACCTCATCCAGCTCGAGCATAAACCAACGAAGTCTTGCTGAAATGTACTTCCCGATTGTCCTTACTCCTCGATTGAGATTGATGTCTGTACTGACACTAAATGGTGGTTGTATAGGTTTGCCCAGCCAAGTGCACATCAATTAGCCAGTATACTGCAAACTCAAGTATCAAACTGAGGGCTGAAGTCAAATCGTACCTTACTGCGATTCAGAAGAACAGTCTCACGTGCTCTTCCAACTGCTATACACACGACCTTCTGTGATGTGAAAGGCAATGCAATTTCTCGTTTAGAATTCTTGAAATATAATAAAGTAAGTCTCGATGTCGCATATCCAACAATATGGGGACAACAATTGATATCTTCTATATCTCTTCTTGTCTGCACCGCACGCAGGGCCTACTTAACGTAATCGCAGCACATGCACCTTTCATGTCCACATTCCACAAGTTATGCAGGGTTGAAACAAAAACACCTGCATCCTTACATGCAGGGAAGATCAGAACTTCCAATCTTACTGTAGAAGATATTGGCACCAACTTCCCCTGGAATGGATGCACTGTCCAGCTGGATGGTTCAATATGGGTCACAAGGATGGAACTATTGCCCTGTATTTTGGGCGGCTCAGAACTGACCAAGGGTCGAGGTCTGGAGAATTGCTTGAAACTGCACCTCGGTATCACCATCTTTGTAGAATGTCCAGGAGGATCAATGCTGCAAAGGATACTTCTCTAGCTATGACGCCGTATGTGGAGAAGTCGATAGTTTTACTTACATTCGGAATTACTGCATCCACGTGCACTGAGTGGACTTCATGGATCCACAACGTTAAACTGAAGAACATTTACCGATTGCCTCTCATCTTATATTCTTTGTCATTCAAACGTCGATAGAGAATGAAGAGTAATCTTGTGTCCAGCATGTCCGGCATGTGTCCAGCACCGCAACTTCTGTTGAATTGAATGCAAAGTCTAGGTCTGAGTAATAATTGGAGAACGGAGGATAAGTAGACAGTTCCGAGGAGTTGTCCAAACCTATATTTGAGATTCTTCATGTCCAAATTGATGATAGATTTGCCAGGATTTAAACGCTATGTTAGCTAATTACTGTCTGAATCTATTAATCTCATAAATTGGTATGAATTGCAAGTTTGAACAATTGAGCATCACGCTAAGGTTTCATTTTATAATTTTGTATCTATATAGTAAAAATAGAATGGAAAGTTGCATCGAACTCTAAGTCGAAGTTTCGGCTCATACAACAAGCTGACAATTGAACTTGGCTTCTTGACAAAGCCCAAACAAAAATGAAAAAAACACAAGTCGCTGGGCAATCCTCATCCAGATGAACCTAGGCATCTAGGGAACCGTAAACATCTAAGGAGCCATGAGTGCATCTACTTGCACAGCGCGAATTCCTTTTTGGAAAGGTCCCATATAGTTCGGAATAGTTCGAAACTTCCTTTCTGGTCGGACGGGTTTGGCGGAACCTTTGGCCGCACCTTACCCTCTTCATCTACACCGGAAACTCCTTCCTTGACGTGATGCGGTCATACCAGGGCTACTACACCAGATCCCATCAGAACTCTGCAGTTAAGCGCCCTTGGGCCGGAATAGTACTGGGATGGGTGACCTCCCGGGAAGTCCCGGTGCCGCATCCAACCTTTTTGAAAATAATAATAATCCCTAAGTCTTTAAATTATCCTTTGGTAAAAAATCTTAAATTCCCCACGTAGCCGAATCAAAAATAAAACTAACAACTTCTCCGAATTTTCTTTACTTCCGATAAGGTTTCACATTATCTCTCCGCAAGAATCCTTCCCGAATAGAAATTAAGTCAAAATGCCATTTCTTTTTTCTCTTTTTTTTTTTTTTTTTTTTTGTTTCCTCTATTCAAAGCATAATTACACGATCATTTCACAACTTTTTTTATTTGTATTTTTTTTCCTTACTTTTTTATTTCGAAATCACTCATCGTCACAATTTCAAAATCCAAGTGTCAAATCTTCCCAATTGTGGGTAATTAGATCCTACCGCTCCCAAAACATCTATTAGATTTATTTTAGACCAATTCCAAATTGAATTATTTACAGATTCTCAAATCTAATCTAATATTCTCTAATTATAATTTTTTCCAATATTAACCCTGGAGAATTATATTTTCCCTCTATCATATAAGTGTTCTATATGCTTTTGGATCTATTATTTTGACCTAAATTCCGTTTTTCAATCTAACAAGGTTTCAACCTATAAGATTAGATTCCAATCCAGATTATTGTTTTCCCCCATACCCCCTCCATCATATAACACATGTTCCAACACTAGATGCATCGAAAACAAGCCTCGCATAACAAATTTGATTCTATTCTAAACATCTAATCCTCCCAGTATTAAACTAACCGTTGGATCATCTTGCAATTTATTCCTATAAATTTATATTCCATTTATTCTCTGTGTATGGCTCACTCATCCGCTACTGGTGCCCATGTCCGACTCATTCAAGAGTGTGTGCGAGGGTTCCACCCTGAAGCGCCAAATTGATATTGAGAAGAGCTCCATGTGCTGAGCTTGTGTTCTCAGTAATCATACACAGGTCCGTGGGAAGCGGCCTGTCTTGTCGTGTGGCGGCGTGCAAGATCCACTGACCGAGCTCTTTTCGCACAAGTTCAGAAACTACGTCCCTTGATAACACTCATGTGTCGAGGAGCCAAGCAACAAGTCCGTGCAGGTCCAACCTGCGAACCCGTGTGGAACAGCAGTCTCATATAGGTAGGCTAAAGTCACTGAATTGTCTTGGACGACTTCCAGTTTGTCTCCAGTTAGTTGTTTAGTAGATTGCTGGGTTTTGTGTGGTCTGCGGACAATTAACCATTGAGCTTTTACAATAACCAAGTCACTATTCCCATGTGTTTTAAGCATTCGTACCTGATATTACCTTTGTAGTCATCGAGTTCAAGCTTTCCACTCGACAGACATTGAACGGCTGAGATGGCAGATCGGAGCAATGGCCAGCGATCACGTTTTTACACATGTGTAAGAGTAAGTTGACTGCGGTATTGTGTTTACTGTTTAGCTTTCTCTAAGATTATATTAAATAGTCATTCGTGTCTCGTTCTTGTTTGAACCAAGCAGGCAGGAATCCAACCATACTATCGCAAGAAATAAGCCACAAGCTCGAGAATCGACTTGAAAGGCGTAGCATGCAATCGTGTGGATTTCTCGAGCAATGGAAGTGGTAATGGACTCAGACTAGGGGACCTGTATGTAATTCGTAATGCTAGCATTGAGACTGAGAATCGTTGATTCCAGATGGATAATAAACTAGTAGATTGCAGCACTTGCACAATAGCTGATCGGTTCCCCCACTGTCACTCTTTATGTGATGCAATATTAATTAGACTTAGAAACGGGGCTCTCTTCCTAAAGCTTCGATTGCAAACAACAGAATTGCTACAACAGCGCTCCAATTGCTGCAATAAATTGCTACAATAGCAGAACGTTTAGAAACTATGATTCAATTTGTTAATTGTTCAAAGTTTCGACCATAGTTAGAGATGTTATTGAGAGTGCCTTTTATGAGAACAAATAAAAGGTTCTGACATGAAATTTGATGGCAGAAAGTTTTCCAGGATGTTAAAAGTTTGCATCACACGAAATTTTCTACTTTCATGGGAAATTGAACGATCAGCGTTACTTGAGAGGAATTTCTTAATCCGGGTCGGATTCTTTGATATTTACATGTTTTGAATTGTCATGACATTTGTACATTTTCTTTCTACGACCCATATGGGGATTTGTAATGGAATCCCCCTGCACAGCTACTTCTCTACTTTCTGCTATTGTCGTCAATCCCACAATCCATGGGCTCCATGACGTTCAAATTTACTCTGCAGTCCTACCTATCCTTGCAAAATTGGTTTGGTGAGCCAAGATCTTGGAGCATCACCAAGGCTTTCTTCTAATAAATGGCCACTAGTCAGTGGCCTGTAGTTATGATGAGCTGAGCTGACCAGGTTTTCAGAACAAAACTCCGGCAGTTTTACTGTCGACGGGCACCATCGGTGTCACTGCTGGTCTCCTTCCGAGTAGCACTGCGATCTTCTGCTGGAAGATGCTTGCATCTTCACGTTGCTCAACACGTAACCGCAGCGTTTGCTCGATGGACCTCTCGACTGCAGCATAATAGCCAGCGCAGTTTCTGTACACCTCAATCACAGCGCCCATCTGAAGAGCGTGTGTCAGCGTATGCACGAACAGGGAGCCCAAGGTAACTGCTGCAGCTACAGCTGGACAGCCAGCCATGTTCAAAACAACTCCCGCTGTAGCGATCATTGGAGAAGTAATCGACAAAATCAGGTTGAGACCCTTGGCACTGTCGGCCATACTTGTGTATTCTGGAATGTCTGAAGTGCGCAGAAGGTTAGCGGTGTGCCTGAGGTCTTCCACTGCAGACCTTGTCCATCCATTTTTGTGAGAACATGGGGACACTTCAACCTCAGGTCGAGCTAGATCTACATCGCCACTGATCTTCGATGGAAGCACTTGCTTGGGGAACTTCTCCACCACAATTGGTGTGAGTGGCAGGGGAAAAGCTCGGTCTAGAGCATGCGCGGTGGCGATCGACTGCTCCCAGTAGATAGATGCTTCTCCGCGCAGTCGCGGATCAACCTGTAAGGTGGCCTCCACATCAGTTCCCAATCGCTTGAAGAAGCGAGCAGCATGTCGTTGCTCTTCAGCAAGCTGCGACGGCTGGAACTTGCTCACGAGGGCCATGAGCGCAGCTGCTCCCATACCAAGAATTATAGCCACGACCTGTAACCCAGAAGCGGGTACAGCGCCATTGACAGCCGAGGCGGTGGCTGCAGCAACGGAGGCCATAGTGATGGTATTGTGGAAGAGTCGGTTCCAATTGTCCCGTTGCACCGCCAGAATTGAGTGC